TCGGTTGTTGGAAAGCGGCATTTGGGTGCTGAAGGAATCCTCGCGCCTTAGTTTCGTCAAAGGGGGGGGCGGCTTCAAACCGATGGCAGTGGAGTCTTGCGTTACTCAGGAAGAGATTAAGAAAGAGCCCAAAAAGCACAAAAAAGGTACAAAGGAGGAGTTGAAGGTGGCGGGGAGAAGCAGGGGACGGCTGGCTGGCCGGTCGCTCGGCCCGCTTTGTCTTGGTCATGCGTGCTGATGCCGGTACTGGTCCGTGGATCATTTTGTGATGCCGGTACCAGGCTGTGATACAAAAAAGGTTGGGGGCCACTGACCTAGAGTACTGCATCCAGTTTTTGGTCACCACACTATAAAAAGATGTCGAGACTCTAGAAAAAGTGCAGAGAAGAGCAACCAGGATTAGGGGACTAGAGCAGTGGTCACCAACCAGTGGGCCACGGCCCACTGGTGGGCTGTGAGAAAATTTTCACTGGTGGGCCACAGAGAAATCTCACCCCCAGAGCACCCCCCCAAAGCAATTAATCCAGGCTGCACAGAAACACAAGGCTGCGCCGCCCACATGGCCTGCGGGAACCCTCCCCGCCCACTCACTCCTTACCCGGTAAACTTACCTGCTAAATTGCTATTTTTCCTTTTTCCGACTATCATCTGTTCTGCTGTGCCGGGAGATTTAGATTAGCTAGGAAGCAGGAAATGGTTGGATTTCTTCAGTGGTGATATTCAACCGGTTCTGCCCGGGTCTGGAGAGCCGGTAGCGGTGATGAGCAGTGGAGACCGAACCGGTTCTCTTCACTGCTCTGTGTTTGGCCCACCCACCTGCCCAGGCTCCCATACTCACTTTTGTGGCCAGAATTTAAAGCGCAGCTGCTTTGCGTGGTGCAGAATAGCACCGTGCGGCAGCTGCTACAGCGACCACCATCGTGCAGGCTTGCAGGAGGCAAGTTAGAATGCCTCTGCCCCTGTGCAAAGTGCATGTTTGGCACGTGCGTGCACGCAAAGTGTGTGCATGCGTGCAAAGAGCGGCCACCAAGCCACGTCCACTGAACTGGTAGCAACTTTATTTGAATACCACCACTGGATTTCTTGCTTTCTAGCTAGTCTTTAGATCTTCAGCTCAGCACAGCCGAATCTCTCTTAGGTCTAAAGGTTTGCTTGCAAGCAAATTCAGTGCAGACTCATGGCAAGCAAATTTGAGAGACTGAGTTAGCCGATGGCAGATAAATAGATCACTGAATGATTCTGTGAGCAACTTAATCTGCCTACTTTGCCTGATTTTTGGTAAAAGTTGCTCTTTTTTATAAAAAAAAAATCAATATTTACATGCATGGTGTGTTGTGAGTTAATTTTATGAGTTTGCGTACAAGCAAATTTTATGTGACAGACTGAGCTAGCCAATAGCAGATAAATAGATCTCTGAATGAATCTGTGATTCCTTGAGCAACTCAATCTGCCTGCTTTGCCTGATTTTGGGTAAAAGTTGCTCTTTTTTTAAATAAAAAAAAATCAATATTTACGTGCTTGGTGTGTTGTGAGTTAATTTTGTGAGTTTGCTTGCTAGCAAATTTTATGAGTTTGCTGGCAAGCAAATTTTATGTGACAGACTGAGCTAGCCAATGGCAAATAGATAGATCTCTGAATGAATCTGTGATTCTGTAAGCAACTCAATCTGCCTGCTTTGCCTGATTTTGGGTAAAAGTTGCTCTTTTTTTATAAAAAATTCAATATTTATATAAATATTTATAATATTTACATACAAGCCATGCCCAGCCAATCACATGACCACCAAGCCACACCCACAAATTAGGCCATGCCCACACAACCGGCTAGTGATCCCTGGGATCTAAAATTATGAATTTGGTGGTCCCTGAGGTCCAAAGCGTTGGCGACCCCTGTTCTAGATAATCCAAAGGTGGAACCTTCATAGATCCTCCTATTAATTCAATCTATATTGAAACTTTCAGGAGTCTTTTTAGTGATAATGTTTTTCTTATTCTCCCTTTTAAATCTCCCAAAACCAGGCCTTTCCAGGATTTTGAGAATATATTTTGCCTTCCTTTGACAGCAGGTGGCGATCTTACATCAGTTTTCACTTTATCTTGCCTTCTTGTTCAATTTTACTCTAATTCTCCAGATGTACTGTAGATATAATATTAGCCTTTTATGTAAATAGTTCCAGCATTTTACAATGCCTATCCAGAGCCAACATTTATCCAATTTAAAAGTCCAATTTTCTGTGTTTCTAGTAAATTTTCTGTTTTGTTCCTTTCCCTTCCATTTTAAAATCTTAAGATTTTACTCACAGTGTTAGGTCACCCCCACTTTGAAGATAATTCTGAGTCTCTCTTTTTCGGGATTGCACTTTAAGTAAAAAGATTTTTTTTCACCCAGTTCCAGACACAGTTCACCGGCTCTGCTCCAGCACATTTCCTGGATAAGCTGTCTCTGGCTGTGTGGCAGCCATGTTGACTGCCTCTTCTTCTCTCTGTGGCATAGAGAGCAAAGAAAGCCCTGGGGCTCTACAGGGGAGTTACGTTCTCCCCTGGAACTTCGCAGGATTCCCCTCTTAGACTTCACTGCCCCTCTAAGGTGGCTTTAGCTGCTTCCGGAGCCCATGAACAAGGAGAAGTCAGCGCAGGGACAGAGAGCTCTGTTCCCTTGTGACTGGTATCGCCACGACATCACTTCCCTCCATGAACATCAATTGTTGAAGTTGATATTACAATACGGAAACTACAGTACATGTTGTATCGCTATGTTTTTACTTCTCTGTTCGAAAACAAAGAAAATAAATTCTTCACTGCTATGGATTTGGTAACCTTTCTCAAGCTGGTGGCTTCCAAAAGTGTGAAAGTATGATACTATCACTCCCAAAATGGGGGTGGAGGGATGCTGATTCAGATTTAGAGGTTGTATTTGTGTTGGGTTCCAAACTGGAAGAAGCTGCCATAAAATAAGAAGGTTATTTTCTTTCTTTTCAGCAGTATAAAAACCTGGAATGTGTTCTAGAAAATTTGATGCAGATTACATCAAATCTAGGATTAAGTCATCACCCTTTCCTTCATTTCTAGGATCAGTTGCAAATTATATGCACTGACACACCCAAGGAATGTCAGTGGGGAAGACTCCCTCCCCTTTGTTTCATTGGCTGATCTGTAGACAGGGTGGGATCTATTGCAGGAAGTAGGATTGCATTGGATACAGATTTGTAGACTGAGTGTTGAGCCTGACTTATGGTCACAGACTCGCCACATAAGGGACTGGGTGGTGGAGTATGATGCATGCAGGACTGAGAAGAAGACGCCACTGTTGGAGGAATGCTGAAGGGAAAGTAGCTGAAGCAGCAGGACCGATCCAGCAAACATCCACAGGTCCGGATGTTGGTTTTGTTTTTTGTTGGGGATTGGAGGAGGCCGAAGTAACCTGCATAGGGGGAGGGCTCCTGAGTGGGTGGATTGCCAGATGTGTGGTGTTTGGGGAAAAGACATAAAAGCAGCACTGGTAGGCAAAGCTCCCAGTGCTAGCTTTATATGTGACTCACTATCTGTTGTTGCTGCTTTATTTGCAAACCAAGGTGGATTAAAAGAAACCCTGCATCTATGTGAGTGTTCTGAGTTCTTTCTTGTGTCTGCGGGAGTCAGCCAATGGCAGTTGGAGACTGAGAAAGACTTTGGAGGTATTCAAGTCCAATCCCTTGCCCAAGGTCCACCTTATTCCATCCCAGACAAATGTATGTCTAATCTTTTCTTGAAAACCTCCAATGAAAGAGCACCCACAACTCCAGGAGGCAAGTTATTCAGTTGACTAACTGTTCTGTCAGGAAATTTCTCTTTCCTTCTAGGTTGGAACTGTCTTTGATACACTTCTACCCATTGCTTTTTGTCTTGCCCTCAGGTGCTTTGGAGAATAAGTTGACCCCCCCTCTTCTTTTGTAACAGCCCTTCAAGTACTTAAAGAGAGCTATCATATCTTCATTAAGCCATGTCTTCATTGGGTTAAACATACCTAGTGTCCTTATGTTCATCATAAAAATTAACTTCCAGACCTCTTATTATGTTTGTGCTCATCTCTGCACTCTTTCAAGAGCCTTAGCATCATTTTTGTATCATAGTGACCAGAACTGGATGCAGTATTCCAAGTGTGGCCTCACTAGTGCAAAAGAAAGTGGTGCTATCACTTCTCATGATCTTGATGCTATTCCTCTGTTGATACAGAATTGGCCTTTTTGGCCCTGCAGCAAGGTGTTCGCTCTTACTTAAGTGGTGGTCCACCTAGGTCCTTCTCACAGCAATAGCAATAGCACTTAGACTTATATACTGCTTCATGGTGCTACACAGCCCTCTCTAAGTGGTTTACAGAGTCAGCACATTGCCCCCAACAATCTGGGACCTCATTTTACTAATCTTGGAAGGATAGAAAGCTGAGTCAACCTTGAGCCTGGTGGGATTTGAACTGTCAAATTGCAGGCAGCCGGCAGGCAGCAGAAGTAGCCTGCACTGCACCACTACTGTTGAACCAGGTATTGGCTATTCTGTACTGGCACATTAGGTTTTTCCTGCCAAAATGCAACACCTTAGTCACTTGCTGAATACTTATTTCACAGCCTGCAGTTATTTATTTATTGATTTGATTTGATTTGTCAATTGCTTACAAGATAATAGGTATAAATATAAACATAGTTATGAATACATGGATACATATAAGAAAATAAAAGAAACAATAGGACAGGGACGGTAGGTAGCAATAAACCACCTATTTCTTAGAACAGTTGATTGTGAGAAGTTGCAACTTTCTTTGTGTCTGGTGAGGGTGCCAAATTAGCATGGCACCTTCAAGCAATGTACCTTCTAAGCCAGAGAAGCAGATGCAGAAGTCATGATGCCTTCTGAGGCTTGTCCAGGGCAAACCTGGAGTGGGCTGGTGGCGGGGGGGACAGTAGTTTTTGAATAAAATACATAACACACTTTACATTTGTAAGCTCCCCAAATTATAAAACAGATTCCGATGTTAAATAATGTTTATTAAACCAGAAATAGAATTGTACATAAAATATACATAGCAAAACAATGTTAAAAATAACTTAAATAGGAAATCTCAGTTTATGTTATCTTTTAAAATCAATTTAATCCCTGATTTATTATTTTTGCTATTAGTATGAACTATTGCCTCCTCCTTAGTTTTCCCCTCAACTTCACTTCTTCTTTGCCTCTGCTCCATTACTTCTTTGGCTTGTAGGCTAGTAGAAGGCTTCAACTTAGCATCTAGTTCCCCAGAAACAAGCCTCCCTTCTCCCTCCCTCCCTGCCCTCCGATGCTTACTACTTTCCAAAAACATCAACCTTGACAGACATCAGGAAACCAAGTCTTATGTAGGATCATGTGATGGGTAATGGGTAGCCATGTTTACTCCTTAGATGAAAGATTTCCTTTAAGATTGATATGTTTAATGTAACACTGTTTATAGATGCTATGGAAGCAAAATCTATGCTATCCTCATTAAGCATGTGGGTGTAGGCTATAATTATATTCGTAATTCAAAATATTATTCATATCATTAGGACAAGGCTAAGCAACAATGTTGCCCTTGAAACTTACATCGATTGCCAGGAAGGATCAACAGTCAATCTACCTGTGCATATGCATACATGTACTCTGTTCATGCCTTCATCCATATTTTCTTTCTCCCCTTTCTCCCCAAGCCCAGTTCAAATAAAGTGGCTTGGGTGCTGAGGATTGAGTGCATTTACTGGCAGCTGCCATTCACATTGATTGGCTGCCCTCTGCAAAAAGTGAGTGGAGCTTGCATTTCTCCAAAGGTGGCATCTTTTGTGACTGAGTTACTGTGCCCACTGGGTTGCAAGTATTCAAGTATTAGGTATCCATATCCTACTTCACTTACCAACATGGGTGTTTGCCGTAGTGGGTGAGAATTTTCCACTGCCTTCTATATAGAACAGACAGGTTAAGTTTCTACCCAGAAGATTACATGGATGACAATCTGATACTGTGTTGGGAAATATTGGCCATTTACAAACACTATTTAGAAACCATTTAAATCTTCCTAGTCATTTTTTCTACCAAATGTGATTAATCAGTTCTCTAATTCCTAGAATGAATTTAAATTATTTTAACTGCCAAATTTAGAGGTATGTATGCATTCCTTAGCTCTCTTCTTTCCCACTCATTTCTCAATCTTGGCAATTTACAGGCATGTAGACTTTAACTCCCAGAAACCCACAGCCAGCATGGCTGTTGATGAGAACTTTAGGAGTTAAACTCGCCTGAAATAAGTGCCAAGATTGAGAAACTTTGCTCTAGATACTTCGTTTCACTTTTTTTCTAGATCATTTATTTTGTGATATTTATTTTTCACTTTCTCCATTTACAACTTCCATGTACAGAAAATAAATCTGGGGAAATCCTGAATTCTGGGATGTGCTTTACTTTCGATTCTGATACTTGGCTCTCTGTTTAGGGTCTCAGAATACACCATTTGTTCCCACAACATCATAGGTTATAGTTTGCATACACAAAAGTCTCTTGTGGCACATCAAAAAGTATACCACTTTAAAAGACATGATATTTCACTTTTGATCATTTTCATCTGCTTAGGATCCACCTGTAACTCAGTGGAAAACCTGCCCTCTGCATGAGCAGCCTGTGTCACCTTCCATCTCTAAACAGGGAGAAACAGAATCTCGCATTGTCCGTGTCCATATGAACAATATCTCTGGAAATGGAAACCTTTATCGCAGCATTCTGGTAAGTTACCAAGAGAGGGCAGTATTGTGGAAGGGAAGCCACCAGTTCTGAATTGCAGGAAATACCTGGGGCAGGTTTAATAAGGACATGACTGGAAAGCATGCTGAAAGATTGCACATGATTAAAGTGATGAGGGTTCTCTGATTGCACCAGAAGGGTGAAGAGAATCAGGATATCCAAGCGTTAACAGGTTCTGTACATGGAAGCTGTGAACTAAGAAAGTGAAGAATAAACCTCACCAAATAAGTAACTAGAACAAAAATGAGCAAAGTATCTAGAGCAAAGTTTCTCAATCTTGGCAGTTCTCAGGTATGTGAACTTCCAACTCCTGAAGTTCTCATCAGCAGCTATGCCGGCTGTGGGTTTCTAGGAGTTAACGTCTACATGCCTGTAAATTGCCAAGATTGAGAAATGAGTGGGAAAGAAGAGAGCTAAGCAAATCTATACATACCTCTGAAACTTTGAGCATTTGGAAATATTGAGAATGGGCAATTCAGAGCCCAAAATGTCTTCACTGAGACCACTTTTCTATTTGGTCGGTAATATGCCATTTATATGTGTCGTTTTATCCTTTAACAATGTTTCACACTGTGTTGTCACATAGCTGGATCTATCAGACTCAACTGTGGTTACCTATAAGTGGATGAATTCTCCCTACAGATCACTAGCCAGGATAAGACCACAGCTGTGGTACAGCGGGCTTTGCAGAAACACAAACTGGAAGAGGACTCACCATGCAACTACCAACTTCTGCAACTTCTGGGGGATGGTCAAGGTAAGAATCCCAGAATCCTAGAAGAGATCATAGCCTTGGCAGCTATAGGCCAGCAAAACAGTGGTGCAGCTCGTGATTGGCAGGGGCAGCCCTAAAGGACTCAGATGCCTATACACCAACTCAAAGTTTAGAGAACAAGCAGGGAGTGCTTGAAGTATTAGTACATGAGGGCAGGTATGTTATAATTGCCATTACTGAAACTTGGTGGGATGAAACTCACAACTGGAATGTACTATTGGAAGGATATAAACTGGACAAAGAAACAGATTCCGTTAGAGGAGGTAGAACTGCATTATAACAGAATACAGAATAACAGAGTTGGAGGAGACCTTGGAGGTCTTCCTGCTCAGGCAGGAAATCCTATACCCGTGATGGCGAACCTATGGCACATGTGCCAGAGGTGGCATGTAGAGCGCTCTCTGTGGGCACGCGAGCCGACGCCCCAGCTCAGCTGTGCTGTACATGCGCGCGCATGCCTCTCGCCAGCTAGCTGGTCTTCAGGTTTCTTCCATGCATGCGCGAGGGGAGGGGTGCATGCATGGAGGATGCGTGCGCATTCATGGGGACACGCATGCGTGGGGGATGCACAGAAATGTGCAAGGAGCACATGCACAGGGGAGGTGTGGTGTATGCACGGGGGACATGCATATATTGCATTTTAGGGGTGCACATGCATGCGCTTTGGGCACTTGGTGGTGAAAAAGTTAGCCATCACTGCCATTCAGATAAATGGTCATCCAATCTCTTCTTAAAAACCTCCAGTGTTGGAGCATCCATAACTTCTAGAGGCAAATCTTTCCACTGATTAATTGTTCTGTCAGGAAATTTCTCCTTAGTTCTGGGCTGCTTCTCTCCTTGATCCATTACTTCTTGTCCTGGCTTCAGGTGCTTTGGAGAATAGTTGACTTCCTCAACCTATTATTACATATATGTAACAGATCACTACATCTCTACAGAAATGCTAAAACCAGGGATGAAAGCCTCCTAGAATGCAGTTAATATGAAAGAAAAAATGAATGATATTGCCATTAGTCTATACTACAGGCCATCCAACCCAGCAGAAGAAATAGTTAACTGCTAAGGGATATAGTGGCTCAGTGGCTCAGTGCTGAGCTTGTCAATCAGAAAGGTTGACAATTCAGCAGTTCAAATCCCTAGTGAGCTCCTCTTACTTGTCCCAGCTTCTGCCAACCTAGCAGCTTGAAAGCATGTAAAACTGCAAGTAAAAAAAAATATGGACCACCTCGGTGGGAAGGTAACAGCATTCTGTGCACCTTTGGCATGTAGTCATGCAGACCACATGACCACGGAATCATCATCAGACAGTACTAGCTCTTTGGTTTAGAAACGGAGATGAGCACTGCCCCCTAGAGTCAGGAACGACTAGCACATATGTGTGAGGGGAACCTTTACCTTTACCTAATCAGTTAACAAATGTATATAGGAAACACACAACAATAGTAATGGGCCTTTAACCAGGGGTGGGATCAGACCGGTGTAACTACCGGTTCGGTGATTTACGATTTGTGCGCGTGTTAATCATGGTCAGCTTGCTGCCTGGACAGCTGAGCAGCGCTGCACACGGGTGCGCAGCGGTTGAAAAAGCACTTTTTTCCTGCTTTTTCAACCGCAGCTGTGCCACGCAAAGCAGCTGTGGTTGAAAAACCAGGAAATAAAGGTCAGGTAAGAACTCAGGTGGGTGGGTGGGCCAAAACAGCAACAGACATAGAATCCGTTCTATGTCTGCTGCTCTTCAGACCTACCAGTTCTACAGAGCCAGAGAGAACCGGTAGAATCCCACCCCTGCCTTTAACTACCCTGACAAACTCTACTATCAGGTTCCTGACCAACCTAGCTATCAACTTTGTCATTCAAAAGGTAGAGGAAGGAATTAGAGGGACAGCAATACAGCTATACAGGACCAAATTTTACTAATAAAGAACAAATGATAGAGGGGGTTGAAGTTGCAGTAACTTTGGGCAAGAGTGACCATGTCATATTAGAGTTCAACACAAGGAAGACATAAGCAATAGAACATAATCAAACCAGTATCTGATACTTACTGTATAAAAACCAGTATAAAAAATGGAAAGAGGGACACCTAACTAGAGCAGAATACCAGCAAATAGCCTGAATTGGCAAAGATGAACTCAGGAAAGCTAAAATTCAGAATGAACTAAGACTTGCAACAAATGTCAACAACAACAACAACAACAACAACAACAATGCTTTCAACATATTAAAAAAAACAAGAAAAAAGTCAAAGAAACAATTGGTCCACTAGTATGAGAAGATAGCAAGGAAGTGACAGGTAGCAGGAAGAAAGCACAGCTGCTTAATTATTTCTGTGCATCTATCTTCAGACACAAAAAGAAAAAATAGCCCAACCTACCAAAGAGAGAACCATAAAAGACAGATTAGAAATTCAAATTAAAGCAGGCAAGAAAATGGTAAGAGAACATCTGTCCACTCTAGATGAGTTCACATCACCAGAACCTGACAGATTACATTCCAGAGTTCTGAAGGAATTGGCAGATGTGATCTCAGAGCCATTGAATCATCTTTCAAAGATCTTGGAGCACAGGATTTTTGAAAGATATGTACAGAAAATTAGATGTAAGTACATTAAAGTAATTAATTAGATATAATTAAATTAGATTATTAGATGAAACTTGGCTCAATAGCAGTAACTGCAAGAGGGATCTTGAAGTCCTAATGGACAATCATCTAAATATGAGTCAACAGTGTGTTGCAGCCGCCAAAAAAGCCAATGCAATCTTAGGCTGCATTAATAGAGGGATAGACTCAAGATCACGTGAAGTGTTAGTACCATTTTATAATGCCTTGGTAAAACCACACTTGGAATGCTGCGTTCAGTTTTGGTCATCACAATATAAAAAAATATGTTTTAGAGGGGTTAGAGGGTAACATATAAAGAATTGTTACAGGAATTGGATTTGTCTAGTTTAGTGAAAAAAAGGATTAGGGGTGACATTATAACAGAGTTCCAATATTTGAGGGGTTGCCACAGAGAAGATGGGGGGGGGGGGGAAATCAAACTATTTTCCAAAATACCAGAAGTCAAGACAAGGAGTAATGGGTGTAACCTAATCAAGAAGAGAACCAATCTAGAACTAAGGAGAAATTTCCTGACAGTGAGAACAATCAACCAGTGGAATGGCTCGCCTTCAGAAGTTGTGGGAGCGCCATCACTGGAGGCTTTTAAAAAGAGACTGGACAGCCATTTGCCTGACATGGTATAGGGTCTCCTGCTTGAGCAGAGGGTTGGACTAGAAGATCTCCAAGGTCCCTTTCAACTCTGTTATTCTGTTAAGATAGGAGGGGAGATGCTGGAAATCTTGCTCACATTCTCTCATTCTTTGTGCTTTGTTCTTTTTCTCCCCCAAAGAGCTGCTGATTCCTGACAGTGCAAATGTTTTCTATGCCATGAATCCTGCTGAACCCCATGACTTCTTCCTGCTCCAGAAAAAGGGAATCACCAGCGAACCACACTTGAGGATAAAGCCTGGGAGCAAAGCTGCTCTTTTCCACATTCCCTCTCTCAAAGATTTTAGCACCAGTGCCCTTGCTGCCAATTCATGCTTCATATTTTCACATAGTGCACCAAATAGCCCAGTTTCCCCTTCTCCATCACTTCCTGCTGAGGATCCAAACTTTAGATCATGTCTTTCAACACACCCATTTCCAGCTCCTTCCTCCTGGTTCCTGAAAAATCAGTCAGCAATAGCCACCCCTGATTCTCCTCCTCCCTGTCTGTCTCTTCCTCAACACCCACTTCCCTTGGAAACCAAGAGCCCAGTTCCCCCTCATATTGTGCAGAAATGGCTGGCACCTCCTTCTGTACCACAATCACCTTCTTATGCCTCCAAGAAGACATCATTTTGGCCAGAGTCCCCACCAACTTCTCCTCTAGAAATCCAGCATAATCAAGGGTTGAACAGCATAGGAACAGATCTTCAAAGCCAGAGATAGCTTGTCTGATTATAACACATGCAAGAAGCTAAGGAACCAAAGAACCCGTGAAAGATTGTAATTATTCTGAACTGGTCATCTGTGGGATCCTGCTTTGTCTACTCCTGGGACATCTACAGCCATACTTCCAAAAGATCATCAATTCGAAAAAGATGACTTTTGCCATTTGTGGTAACAAGTAGCAATTTGAGAAGTCCCCAAATGATATTGCCTGGTTGCTTCAAAAAAATGAGCTAGTCTTTGGTTTTAAGGGAAAGTAATGTTCACATATTCATGACCTCCAAAATTTAATAGTGTAGTCAAGGACAGACCTGTGTAGATGGATGTTCTGCAAAAGCATACATTTTTTACATGATTCTGTAGTATTTCCCATTTTCGTTGCTTGTAGAAATATCATGTGGAGTCCACACAATCCATCCCAGCTTTGCTGAAGAGACCCACCAAACCCCAAACACAGTGGTAGGCAGGTATGACAAGCTTCAATAAACCTGTGTTGCACCTTTTAAGCATTCTTCCTTCCTGCTCTCCAGATATTTCAGTTACTGTGAGAATGTTCGCATGTTTCATACAGCAGTACTGTAAGGACCAGCCTCTTCCTCCCCCTCTTCAAAATATAAGTATTAACTCTTGAAAACTTTGTATTTCAAAAGGAATCTTTTTATTGAAGAGGGGTAAAGCAGGTCAAAATTCAAAGTCCGGGGTCCCTCAGGGCATGCAACTAAGATAAAGGGAATTAGAACCCCCCCACCCTCAGTCCGATGTGGATTCCACCAATCCACAGGTGTGAACGTTATTATCCCATCATCTCTGAGAAAGCAATTAAGGAAAGGTTCCCAGGAGTTATCTTCTGATGCTGCAATCTACATGGCCCTTCTCCCCTTAAATCCCTCAAAGAGGTGAGATTTTGCCAGACATCTGGGACACCAGGCAATGGTTAAAAATCGTGTAAAAGCAGGGGTGGGATTCTACCAGTTTGGACCAGTTCTATAGAACCAGTTGTTATGATTCTGCGCAGTTCTGAGAACTGGCAAATTGTGCACCTGGCTGGCCCTGCCCCTCTCTGCCCACCCTCCCTCCTTTCCCCGTCAGTCCTTATCATGCATGGGCAACATTGCATGCATGCTCGACATTGCTGACTCTGTTCTTCCCTGCCCAGTCACTCCTTAAGGTATTTCTTTTTTTCCCCTCCTGACGATCAGCTGTTTCTATGATCAGCTGTGCTGGGATTCCCCTTGCTTACTTTCTGCTTCACCCAGGAGACTTACTTGAGGCACAGGAAGGCAAAAAATGGAGGGGGGTGCAGCACACACACCCTCATTTTTTTCCTTCCTGGGCCCAAGGGAAGCTTTCCTGGAAGCAAAAACACCCCTCAAGAGGCATCCTTGAGGCCCAGGAGGCTCCAAAATGAAGCATTGGGGGAATGCTGCATGCCCCTTCAGGCTCCGTTTTTTTCTTCCTGTGCCCCAGGGGAAGCCTTCTGGGAGCAAAAAGGCCCTCCCCAGGAGGTTTCCCTGAGGCCCAGAAGGCCCAAAAAATGGGGGGGGGGTGTTTTGCTGCAAAAAAGCCACACCCACCCAGTCACATGACCATGCCTACCTAGTCACTCCCACATAACCGGTTGTTACAAAATTTGAATCCTGTCCCTGTGTAAAAGATTATACAAAGCCAATGTAAGAAATAAGGTATTTAGGATACGTGGAGAGGAAAATAATTAAATGTATCAAATCCAGCCCCCCTCCCCTTTTCTTCCATGGAAGAATGGCAGATACACAGATCTGACAAGTACAAATCTTCTTTTAATTAAATTAATCAAGGTTCTCTGAATATCCAGAAAATGCCAGAAAATTATTTAGTGCTGCTTGCTCAATTCTATCACAGTTCTCAGTAATGGGTTGGAATAACTTTATGAACAAGATGCATGAGGCAGCTAATATAAGAACCAAGCAGTAATCCATAAAAGTGCTAAGGCAAGCCTACCCAACTCCCTTGAGGCTTTGAAGATACCACCCCCATAGGTGTAATTCAATCATTTAACTCATTCCCTGATTCAACAACAACAAAAAGGATTACCTGTAGGCCTCAAAACAGCAACTGTTATTCTTGCTGTCTTAAACTTAAATGTGTCAGGTCAAGAAACCAAAAAAGAAAGACACATGGTGGGTCTTCCAAACGGATTTCTTTATTGTTCCACACAAGACAGAATCTTGCCAAACTGAATCATCCTACTATTTACATCCAGCATGTACCATGAGGACTAATAGGGAGGAGCTGTTGTCAACCTTTCTCTCACCCTCTTTCTCTCTAGCTGGACAGAGCTGCCTCTTATTCCTCTGAAATGTACCCCCTCCCTCCTGGGAATCCAGCCTTCTACATTCCATCACAGTCGGGAAGCACAATTTGGAGATCCCCAAAGGTTCACCTGTTACCTTGTGATCTATCATCCAGGCCGAAGCAGCAACTTTAACATGTCATACATAACTGTTAGATTCTTTTCCTTTGTTGATGCTTGAGACTTTACACTTGAAATGCATGTTGCTCTGTGGTCTAGAGAGAGTTTCTCTCTCCCACAATTTATCCGGCAGGCTCTACATTCTCTGTTCTTGCTACTCACTTCCTAAAGCAAAAAGTGCTTTCATTTTGTTTTCAGACGAAGGGAAAATAAGCTAAATTTTCACTCAGAGAACAGTGTGAAATTTTATTTTCTGGAAGTCGGAGCTGGTGTCTCGGCAGTACAACGTGCGATCTTGAACCTCCAAGATCGCCGCCGATATCTCAGCTGCTGGACAGTCCTATTGGACCTAAACTGTCCCATAGAGACGGTGACAGAGAAGGGCACATCCTGTTGATCCCAGGGACACAGCAAAGTCCCTGGTATATCCAGGAGAAGCCCTTTTTTCAGGTGGCGGAGAGGCAGCCAATGAAGCTGCTGAAGCTGGGACAGCTCTGGAATGGAAGAAAAGCTGAAAAGTGTCAGTTTGGTGAGATAAGTTTCTACTTTCTATTTTTTTTGGAGAGAACATCCTAAAAGACTTAAAGTGTAATTAAAAGTGAAGATAAAAGAGGTTGAGTGGCAAGATTAAGCTTAAGTTAAATGGAAGGGTTTTTTTTCTCCTTTTTGTTGAAACCTGGAATTTGGTAAAAGCTTCTTAACTTTAAAGTGGACTGGTCTTTTTCTCTAATTTTTCATTTTTTAAATAACCTCTTTGAAAGTCTCTTTTGATTAGGATTTTTTTTGTTTTAGTTTTTTCATTTCAGGTCTATTTTTTTCTTTTTCTCTAACGACTTTACTTTTTTTTTATCTATTCCTGGCTTTGGATATACAGGGGGAAGTGAAAGTGAAGGGAATTAAGTAACACTGCCATCTAGAGGCCTAGATACATTGTTTTCTTTTTTGCTTGTTTATACATTGGAGTTACATTCAAGAACTCTGAGCTTTTTACTGAAAAGATAGTGGGATGAGCACAGCAGATTGTTTATACAGGTGCTCCTCTGCAAAACTATTGATAGCTGGAGTCTGGAGTTGAAATTGAAAGAAAGAAGATTGAAATGTCCTTGAAAAGAGAACTGGAAATTCTGTTTTGATTCATTAAAGAGCCTTGGACATTTAGTGGCAGTGGTTTACTTTCTGACAGAACTGTTCGTTATCCTCTTTTTTTTTTACTTCCCCTCCAGCTGGATTTTTATGTTTGGACTTTAGCCTTTTGGCTCAGGAATTAGAGTATATTTCCCCCCTCCTCTTCTTTTGTTTTACTTTTTTTTTAATTAAGGAAAATACATAGATTTCTATGATTTCTTGATGATGAAATATGAGGATAGATTCAAGAAAATTGAAGAACAAGACATACAAAGAGATAAGAAAATTGGAGATCTTGATACTTGATTGAGTGAAGTTGAAAGAGACAAGAGCAGATCATTGGGATGGGAAATTGACAGGTCAGAATTTTATCTTAGATTCCAAAATATAGAAGAAGAAAAGGGTGAAAACCTTGCTGAAATAATAACAGAAATCTTGGCAGAAGCATTAGAAATAGCTAAAGAGAAGTTGATGGATGGAATGGATGAAGTGTTCCGTGTCTATACAAGATATGCAATGAAAAATAAATTACCAAAAGAAGTTCATATTAGATTCACTAAGAAAACTGTTAAAACATAGATACTGTGGGTGGCAAGAGAGAAAATGTTAAAGTATAAAGATAAAGAAATTGTGGTACTGAAGCAAGTACCAAGAAGAGTGAGAGAGATGAGAAGAGAATACCTATTTCTGACTAAAGAGTTACTTAAGAGAGGAGTAAACTACAGATGGTTGATACCAGAAGGTCTCATGTTCACCTGGCAGGAACAAAGACACAGAATTGACACAGTTGAAAAAGCTGAGCTATTCTATCTAGAATATTTTAGAGGAAAAGAGGAAGATACAAGAAAAGAAGAGTCACTAATCAAATTCCAAGAGGAGTGTAAAACAGCAATTGAAAAAGAAGAAGGAGCTGTAGGTGGGGTACCCAGAGAGCAATGAGAACCAAGATCTACTAGAGCAACAAATCCTTCTAATAAAGTCTAAAATGGATGAGAGAAAATTGATTACAATTAATATAAATGGACTTAATTTAGCTACTAAAAGAAGTATTTCATAAATTAGAGGAATTAAAATTTGATATAATCTGCTTACAAGACGTGCATATTAAAAAACAACATGAACACTTATTGAAACACCAAAAATTAGGGAAATTATTTACAGCGTTGACACAATGTAAAAAGAGAGGAGTGCCTTTAGAGATACAATCCCTGCAAAACAAATCTATACAGATGATGATGGAAGGATCTTGATGGTGGAAATAATGGACAATAATGTAAAAATACTTTTAATAGGAATCTGCTCCAAATGATAACCATGAAGAATTTTACAGGAAATTACATATGAAAATAATTGAACTGGACTATGTTAATATTTGTATAATGGAAGATTTTAATGGAATAATTAATGATAAATTGGACTACAAAGCACAGAAAACAACAAAGAAAATTAGAAAGACATTACCAAAATATTTCTTTCGAATGATAGAGGAAATAAACTTAAAAGATGCATGGAGAGAGAGAAATGCGGGAAATAAACAATATACTTTTTATTCAAATAGACATGCATCATGA